GCAGGAGCACAGACACAGACATTGACAGCATGCAAACAAATGAGAGCAACTACATTCCGTCAAAACTTTGCTTCCAAATATAGACAGTGGGCTGAATCTGGCCTGTGAGCCACAGTTTGCAGGCCCCTGGCTTAGCGCACAGGCTGCGGAGTAGGCAGGCTGGATTCAAATACTGATGCCAGGACTGTGGCTGCATGACACCTGGCCATTTACTTAATTTTCTCCAATTGCTACTTGCCCCCATTTCTAACTTTGGGGTAATATTGTTAAGTCTGCCTCGGGGGCTGCTGTCAGAATTAGCCAGATGATGTATGTAAACCACCTGGTACCCTCCAGTACAAACTTTCTAGAACTATTCTCATTGCTACTTATTGTCCTTTAACATCACCTCTCTGCCAATTCTGATGCTGGGTTATTTACATATTCCAACCCTTTTATCTTTCCAGGAATCTTCCAAAATCCATATCAGAGGAAGCTGGAAATCTGTGGATCATTCCCCTTTTCTCCCCTTTCCAAGTAGACCTTTTTGGATAAAATTAGCAACAGTTTTCAATAAACCAGATGTAATGCCTCACCCAGAGTTCTGGAGTTTGGTGCCAAGTGCACACTTTCATCAGATGTCCCCACAACCCGGCTGGTCAGAGGTACAATAGCTCACTCTCTAAAGAATACAGTTGCTTCCGTAATACATGCACACTTTCAACCTCAGGCATTCAGATGTTATTATACACTTGCCATGGTATCAACCTTCTCTCTGTCTATCATGAAAAATAATATAAGTAGCTGCTCAAGAAAATCGAAGAGGATGCAAACAAATGGAAAAATTTTACATGCTCATGTATAGAAATAATTAGTATCATGAAAATGGCCATACTGCCCAATGTAATTTAGATTCAATGCCATTCCCATTAAATTATTATTGACATTCTTCACAGAATTAGAAAAAAATACTTTAAAATTCATATGGAAATAAAAAAGAAACCATATAGCCAAGGCAATCTTACGCAAAAAGAACAAAGCTGGAGGCATCACGCTACCTGACTTTATACTGCAAGGCTATAGTAACCAAAGCAGTATAGTACTGGTACTAAAACAGACACATTGACCAATGGAATAGAATAGAGAACTCAGAAATAAGACTGCATATCTACAACCATCTCATCTACCTCAAACCTGACAAAAACAAGCAAAGAAGAAAGGCTTTCCTGTTTAATAAATGGTGCTGCAAGAACTAACTAGTCATACGCAGAAAATTGAAAATGGACCCCTTCCTTGCACTTTATACAAAAATTACCTCAAGATGGTTTAAAGATTTAAATATAAATCCCAAAACTATAAAATCTCTAGCAGAAAATCTAGGCAATATCATCAGGACATAGGCAAGGGCAAAGATTTCACAATGAAGATGCCAAAAGCAATTGCAACAAAAGCTAAAATTGACAAATGGGATCTAATTAAACTAAAGAGCTTCTACACAGCAGAAGAAACTATCATCAGAGTGAGCAGATGACTCACAAAATGAGAGAAAATTTTTATAATCTATCTATCTAACCAAGGTCTAATACCCAGAATTTACAAGGAACTTAAACAAATGTACAAGAAAAAAGAAAAAAAAGCTCATTAAAAAGTGGGCAAAGGACATGAACAGACACTTCTCAAAAGAAGAGATGTATGTAGCCAGCAAACATGAAAAAAAACTCAGCATTACTGATCATTAGAGAAATGCAAATCAAACCACAGTGAGATACCATCTCACTGGAGTCAGAATGGGTGATGATTAAAGTCAAGAAACGACAGATGTCAGCAAGGCTGCAGACAAACAGGAACATTTTTACAGTGTTGGTGGTAATGTAAATTAGTTCAACCATTGTGGAAGACAGTGTGGAGACTCCTCAGAGACTTAGAACCAGAAATACCATTTTACCCAGCAATTGCATTACTGGATATCTATTCAAATGAAAAGAAATCATTCTATGATAAGGATACATGCACACATATGTTCACTGCAGTACTATTCATAATAGCAAATACATGGAATCTAAATGCCCATCAGTGATAGACTGGATAAGGAAAACGTGGTACATATACACCATGGAATACTATGCAGCCATAAAAAGAAATGAGATCATGTCCTTTGAAGGGACATGGATGGAGCTAGAAGCCATTATCCTCAGCCAACTAAGACAGGAACAGGAAAACAAACACTGCATGTTCTCACTTATAAGTTGGACCTGAACAATGTGAATACATGGATACAGGGAGAGCAACAATACACAATGAGGCCTGTTGGTTGGGAGGGAGGCGGGAGAGCATCAGGAAAAATAGCTAATGCATGCTGGGCTTAATAGCTAGGTGATGGATTGATAGTGCAGCAAACCACCGTTGTACATGTTTATCTGTGTAACAAACCTGCACATCTTGCACATGTATCTTGGTACCTAAAAAAAAAATAAAATTTTTAAAACAAAATAAAATTCATATAAGTTATTTCTTATCCAGAGTAGGCTTTATGGTAAGTATGTTTTTGGAAGTCTTTTCTCTCTTATCTTCTTTACTGAGTTAAGGCAACAGATCTTAGGCTTTGAGTCACATATACTTAAAATCTAAACAAAATTGAAAATATTCCCCAAAGGGGAAAAAAGTGCACTTGTGCGCGTGCACACACACACACACACACACACCACATACGTATTTTTTAACCTAAAATTTTAGAGCCTTAAAGATTATCTGAAAGCTCAGTCATAACCTATCTATGAAAACAGATGAAGAATTCCTATTCGGGAGAATTTCAATGTTTTACTTCTTGACGTATCAGAATCACTGGTTGTATCTATGCTAGCTAGAGTACCTGACAAGGAAAAAGTACATTCATAAAAGTGTGAATTAACTAAGGTGAATTCCTAGGCATCTTGAAATCCTTTTAGCATCTAGAATGATGAATGAATGGATTATGGAAAAGCAGCATGTCAGCCATCCGATTAGGATGACTTTGTGTTCCCTTGGTGAGCAGATCTATACGGGTGGTTCTTCCGGTTACTTTCAGGATAGTGAGTTTTGCTTTGGAAAATGTGATTGATGTGGCTATGCCTCCATGCACACATCATTAGTCTGTGGCGGGTAAGCTCAGATGGTCAGAGCACTGTGCTAATGAGGAGAAGGTTAGGGGTTCAGTGCCCATGTGGGCTACTTAGCTTTTGTCTCATTCATGTCCCCAGACTACTCCCAACACAGGCCACCTGTCTTGAAGATGTGTATCTATAGTCAGGGGGAGGAGCCATGTGCAAGAGTTTGGCTGGATCACTACAAATTTATCATGACTCTGGGAAATCGACTGCTGTGTGAGCTCCTGGCTGTTGATAAGGGAACACACCTTCATTTGAAAGGGACAGAAAGCATAATTCTCAATACACACACAATCTCAATGGAGTAGATTTTGTGAATAACTTGTTAAATTGTCACTTAATTTTACAGAGCTAGAAAATAGGTAACCAAGTGAGATGACGTTTGACAAAACAGTGGTGAGGTGCCCTTCACTCAGGCAAATGAAACATGAATATTTACTTACATATAGAGCGGTGCACACTAGCATTCTGGCTGCAGAAAATTCACTTCACAAAAAACAACTACGGAAGCTCTTGAATTATTTAATAGGTGAATCTTTGATGAAGTGTTAACAAAATAATAGTTGAATTCAACAGAATTTTTCATCTTCGTATTTCTTTTATAAAGTAAAGCACATTTGCATCCCAAACTTCCTTACTTACCCTCATTTTGAGTAAAAGCACTATGATCTGACACAAGCCAGGGGTCAGGAAATTACCCTTAGGTCCTCCCTGACCCTCAGGCTCTTCATCTCCCAAACCTACAGGAAGCCGAGAGGTTTTGTTTCAACTCTTTCATGGCTCTCATATCTGTTCCTCCCCCTTTCTTATTACCAAGATTTCAGCTCTAACCCTGGTTTTTTCCTAATGGGATTATTAGAGCACACAGCTAACTAATCTTTCATCCTTTCTTATCACTGAGGATAATTTCTAAGTGTGAGCTTTACAATTTGACTATCTGTGTTCTAACCCAAAATCTACCATTTACTAGCTGTGTAAATTTACTAGTATAGAGCCAGAAGGCTGCTATATACTTCCTTAACTAAATCTAGCTATAGTGCAACTTTTAGAAAAATGTAACTTTTAGCCTGTTCCTCTGTTTATGTTCACCTAGAAATTAGGGACGAAAATAATAACAGGCTCATGGGATTTTTGTAATGATGTAAATTGGTTAATTTTACAAAAGGTGTTTAAAAAATTGCTCAGAATAAAATATCCACTTAATAAATATTATTTGCTATTATTATTGCTAATTAATCGTTATCATTTCTATATTTACAGCATGGCCTGACTCAAGGTGTACTGTTCTGATCCTACCGTTAAGACTTTCTCAACAAGTTACCAACTTTCTGATTGAGTCTCCTCATCAGCTGAAATGTTTACTCACATAGAGTTAAGGACAGTGTCTGTGTTAGAGGATTTGGTTAAGATGAAATCAGATATTGCAATGGAGTGCTGAGGACAACAACTGGCACACTTAAAATGCTTGTTAAATGTGTACAAGTACTCAAGGTCTGTTTTATTAATAAAAACCAACACCTATGTCACTCTCTTGTTTCCAGTTATGTGATGTAAGACTGTTCTTCTAGGGATAATTTTTTTTTTTTTTTTTTTTTTTTTTTTGAGACGTAGTTTTGCTCTTGTTACCCAGGCTCTGGAGTGCAATGGTGCGATCTCGGCTCACCGCAACCTCCGCCTCCTGGGTTCAGGCAATTCTCCTGCCTCAGCCTCCTGAGTAGCTGGGATTACAGGCACACGCCACCATGCCCAGCTAATTTTTTTTGTATTTTTAGTAGAGACGGGGTTTCACCATGTTGACCAGGATGGTCTCGATATCTCGACCTCGTGATCCACCTGCCTCGGCCTCTCAAAGTGCTGGGATTACAGGCTTGAGCCACCGCACCCGGCCTTCTGGGGATAATTTCTGTAGTTCAGTCCCAGAGAAGGCTCTCTGACAGTGTGGAGCACCGGAAACCACGCGAAGGAGGCACAGCAATCTCTCTCGAGCCGGGACCCTGCTCTTAGTGTTGTTTTGTTGCGGCTGCTGTTTGCCACTGTCGATCGATCGTTCTCTTCTTTCAGGAGAGTAAGAAGGGGAGGGTGCAGTCTGAGTGGTTTCCATTAGGACTTTGAACAACAATCATGTAATAGTTCCTCATTGAATGCAGTCATTCTTCCCAGCATGTTAGAAGCCATAAACCCATTGTAACACAACAAATTTCAAGTAGCTGTAAGTGCTCTAAATACCTATGTGAGACTTCAGCAGCACGGTGGACCCAGCTAACGTAGAGAAGTCCACCTCCTGATACGAAAGTATACATAAATAAGTCGAAAACAGGTAACAATGCAGAAGCAAATTCAAAAGACAAAAGAAGCCCTCGCTGTACAAGAATCTCAAAGCTCATGCAAAAATAGAGCAGACGCCACCACTACTCACTGGAGTATCTTTCCTGATACAGACTCTAAGGCTTGGGGTGGTGACTTCAACACCCACATTGGAACAGGTGAGGAAATATCTCACCTGAAGTAGGTGTAGACCTGAAATAGTGTTGTTTGTTTACTTGTTTGTTTGTTTTGGGCAGAGTTTTGCTCTTATTGCCCAGGCTGGAGTAGAATGGCCTGATCTAGGCTCACTGCAACCTCTGCCTCCCAGGTACAAGCAATTCTCTTGCCTTAGCCTCCCAAGTAGCTGGAATTACAGACATGCACCACCATACCCAGCTAATTTTTTGTATTTAGTAGAGATGGGGTTTCACCATGTTGATCAGGCTCGTCTCGAATGCCTGACCTCAGGTGATCCACCCACCTTGGCCTCCAGAAGTGCTTGAATTACAGGCATGTGCCACCACTCCTGGTCCTGGAATAGCTATTTTTATAAGGCCAAGACCATCCATGTAATGCAAAGAGAAATTAACTCCACTCACCAACCTGGGGAGACAGCAATGTCACTTTCTCCTTCCTGGCAGCTATAAAAGAAAAAAAGTTCTCTTGCAAGGAATCAAAACACCAACTTTGTGCCATGAGTACATGGGAAGACCAAATTTATATTATTAACCAGGTGTAGGGGAGCCTTAAACAGGATTTTAACTGAAATATGAAATCCCAAGAAATCTAAAATAAAAGAAAAAAGAAAAATAAAGCTGCTGTGTTGGGACACCTATGCAACTAGGGTGGTAGCGTATGACTCCTCCCACCAAAAAGAACCCACCGGATTCAAATCATAACTAAAGAACAAGAAATGTGCAAAAAGCTGGCATTTTTAATAACGGACTTTAAAAACATCTAGAAACTAAAATTGTGGTCATTAATATGTTTAAAAGCATTGGATAGGTTAAACAGCAGATTAGATAAAGCTAACAAAGGACTCAATAAACTGGAAAACAATTCTGAGACAAAAATCCCTCAAAATGCAGCACGAATAAATAAAAAATGTAAAGTGTCAAAAGAGTTAAGCAACAGAAATAATGCCCCATATTCATCTAATAAGAAATCCACCAAGTAAAAAGATATTTGAAGAAAAAATAATTATTTTGCAGAACTGAAGAAGATCATGAAGAAAATCAGATTAGAAAAGCACCCCAATTCCCAAGCAAGTAAAAATAAGTTTATATCTAGACCCATCAAAATAAAATTAGAAAATATACAAATAAAGGAAATATCTTAAAGATAATTAGAAAAAAAAAAAAACATAGAGATTGCCACAAAGGAAGCACATGCTGCTGACTGCAGGCATAGCTTCATCTATCATAAAGTCTAGAAAAATGTAGAAGAACTTGTTAACCTATAGGCAGTTAAACTGTTATTTATAAGTAAAAGTAAAATAAAGATGGATTTAGAGAGTGGAGCATTCATAGACTGTTATTCAAGAAATACTAAAGAACACATTTAACAGAAACTGAATAGGCTGGGCATGGTGGCTCATGCCTGTAACCCCAGCACTTTGGGAGGCTGAAGTGGGTGAGTCACCTGAGATCAGGAGTTCCAGACCAGCCTAGCCAGCATGGTGAAACCCCATCTCTACCAAAAATACAAACAATTAGCTGGGTGTGGTGCTGTGTACCTATAATCCAGGCCACTCAGAAGGCTGAGGCAGGAGAATCACCTGGACCAGGGAGGCAGAGGTTGCAGTGACCCTGGATGGTGCCACTGCACTGCAGCCTGGGCAACAAGAGCAAAACTCCATCTGGAAAGAAAGAAGGGAGGGGAAAGGAAGGGAAGGGAGGGGAGGGGAGGGAAGGGGAGGGGAGGGGAGAGGAGGGGAGGGGGAGGGAAGGGGAAGGGGAAAGGGAAGGGGAAGAGGAAGGGAGCAATACAGAAGAATGAAAAGTGAATTACAGGAGACTGATGATTTTGAAAATTTATAAATGTAAATGAATCTAAACTGACTTTTTAAGAAAAATTAAGTGTACCTAAACTTGGAAAGCTTAAAAACAAGGATTCAAAACTCCAGTCAACAATAGCATAGAAATTGGAAGAGGGGCCAATAAAAGCTAAAGGATTTGTTTCCTCTTAGAGGAACAAATAAGCTTGGACTCTGTCACATCAAAAGTGCTTATTAAAGTGTAAGGGTATTGGCCAGGCATGGTGCCTCATGCCTGTAATCCCAGTCCCAGCACTTTAGGGGGCCAAGTCAGGTGGATCATCTGAGATCAGGAATTCGAGACCAGCCTGGCCAACATGGCAAAAACCCCATTTCTACTAAAAGTACAAAAAAAAAAATTAGCTGGGCATGGTGGCGGGTGCCTGTAATTCCAGCTACTCATGAGGCTGAGGCAGGAGAGTCAGTTGAACTCAGGAGGTGGAGGTTGCAGTGAGCCAAGATGGAGCCATTGCACTCTAACCTGGGCAACAGAGTGAGACTCCATCTCAAAAATACTACTACTACTGCTACTAATACTAAGGCTATGGCAGAACCAGGTTTTCTGGGACCTGAAGCTTATATAATCTGTGGAACTTTACATTATTTTCTCTTAAGAAAAGAATAAAAAACTATTTTAAATTTTTTAAATTTTACCAAAAACATCTGGTCCTTAGAGGAAGACCCTGCATGCAAGGGGCCAGAAGGCTACACACTTCCTTAGGTAAATCTAGCTATAGTGCAACTTAAAAAAAAAAATCAAAATAAAATGCTTAGATCATGTTCCATTCCAAGAAGGGAGTGAAAGGATACAAATAAATAAATGCTGTCAAACTGACAAAATCGAATAAAGAAAAAGCAAGCAAAGTCATTGAAAATTGAAAATGTAAAATAACACAGTATAAAATATCCAAATAAACCAGTAATTACAATAAAAAATTAATGAGCTAAATGTTCAACTTAATAAGTTAGAAAAGCCTAGAAAAGAAGTCCAAAGAAATAGAAGGAACAAAATAAAAAGGTAACAGATATTAATGAACTAGAAAATAAAGAAATAATGATGATGAAGAGAACTGAGGTTGGTCACCATTCTTTCTAAGTAAATTTTTTACATTTAGGGAGAATTGGATAATTTTCACGAAGAAGGCTTCTCACCTTCTGGGTTGCCAAAAACCTTAAGAAGAGTTTGTTAAGCTTGAAATTCTTCTAACTTTTTCTTCCCTCATATATCTCATATCTTACAAGTCTTCTGTCCCACATGCAAATTTGTGAATGAGTCTATCAACCTTAAAAATCATGTCTACTTGTGAGTGATACTTTCAGGCCTCACATTAGTCCAAAATCCGAGGTTTGGGTTACCTTTTATCTTTTTGATGAGCCCTGGATAGAAACAGGTACTTTTTAGACTAGGCAATAAGAAACTAGAAGTCCCAGCTGTGTAGGAGACATCCTATTTTTATTGCCTGCTCTCCAGAGCTGTGTCTCACGTGTACCCTGAATAGACGTGTGGCACTTAAATAATTAATTTTTGATTAGAAAGAACAGGAACAAGCTTCTCAGGCAGATTAGTTCACGTTTCTTTTATTTCTTCTCCATTTTCTTTTATTTTCTCTTTATCACCTGTCTTCTCTTTAATCAGATGAATACACACATGAATCACAGGATACAGTTTGGCACTAAGGGCTCTAGAAGGATCATAGCTATGCCTTCCAACTGATTCATATCTAAAATGCCCCCAAAAGGTTGCCAGCATGTTCCATCCTGAATTCTAAAATAATGGCACTGCTTGGAAAAGGGAAGTCTCTTTCGCTGCCTAGTCATTCCAGTCCAAGGAGAGACAGCCCCAAGGGGACCACAAGCCAGGAACTGTCTGCAGCATATTAAGAAAATCCTCCAAAATGCAAACCAAAAAAATATTTTTCATCATCAGAAAAAACAGTGAAAGAAAGAATTAGATGGGGAAAAAAAATGCAACTTCCTCTCTCAGCCTCAGAACGTTTGTTGAAGCCAGGAAGGACTCTTTTATTACACAGATAATTCAAAGCAAGAAATCTCTTGTCAGGATGGGGACAGCCTCTGGGCTGAACAGGGCAACAAGTTCGACTCACCTCCACGGCCTTGCTGCTCCACAGGTGAATGTGGCCTGAAATAAAGGTATAAATTATCACCATGGCGCATGAGACTTAGCCTTCCAATGCCCCTCCATTAACCTTCCACCCTCCTCCCGCCTGCAGTCACCATGTGGAAAAAAAGTCCCCGTGTGGCCTGGCAGAAGGTAACGCAAATGTTTCACTGACTTTTGAATTAAGAAAGGTTAAAAAAAAAAATTCTAACTGTGGCATATAAAAGACACAGCAATTTAGGGTTTCATTGTTTCCATGGAAGGTGTATGATTTTTTCACTCCCCCTCTATTTTTTGCTTTCAAAAAAATAATTGTTAAGTTTTTCAACATTGTGGCCTTAGGAGGTAATTTGCTAAATAGGACAAAATTAGCTGATTTTTGGACCATTTAAAAGAACATTTCTTTTGAAAGCATATAAAATGTATTAAAGCAATCTTCGGAGTCTTTACCCCTGCTTGAGATTTTAATTTACTCCGAGCTAATAAATTATCCCCCCACTCAGAAGCTATTGAAAAATTTCAGTTAAATCCTTTTTAAATTTTAATGTGTTCAATTGAATCCCAGGCAATTTAGACATACACACTCACAGCTTGGGGTGGTCAGCTCACCAATGCAAGACTGAAAAGGGGTCAGATG